GGGGACATTTAAGATCTAAACTATAACACAAGTGTAGCTACAAGTAATACCAAGCTTTCCATAATCCACCTAGGTTAAAACTACTATCATCTTCCAAGGCTCAGGTCTGTCAGACCTGGAGACCACAGAGAGCAAGAGGTATTATAGTCAGCTTCAGCTTCTTTGCTCTTCTCCCTACCTTCCATTTCACCAGTTGCCTTCTATTTCTCACGCCTTCGGGGTAGGATGCAGGAGGTGGGGGAGGAGTAGATAAGTGACCAAATCTTGGTTGATTGACACCTGTTGCAATCGGACATTCCCAGCCTTCTAGGAGACAGTTGTCAAGTGCACATCCAACACATATTCTCATGGAGTGCTTTGTGAGAATGCCCAAAGGGCCTTCATCCTGACTCATTTTCTGGCTTTGAGTAGCAACAATCTTCTGGTTGTAAAGTAAGTTGTGCACCCCAGATGACCGCTTGTGATCCCTGTTTAGAAACCTCATGCGGTGAAGCACTTCTTGCAGCCTCTTTTGTGCAGATTCCGTGAGGCAGACATTTTCCATGGGGCCTTTTCAAGATTTCTTTTGTTTTGTTTGTTTGTTTTGGTTTGTTTTTTTTTCCGGAACCAGGAATCAAACTCATGACCTCCCACTTGCCAGGCAGGCGCTGTGCCACTGAGCTAAATCCCCAGCCCTCAAGACTTCTTAAGATGGCTTTCAAGCCAGTTGTGGTAGTGCAAACCTATAATCCCAGGACTCTGGGAAGCTGAAGCAGGAGAATTGCCAGTTTGAACCCAGGCTGGACAACTTAGTGAGACTCTATCTAAAACCAAAAGAGAAAGAAAAAGTATGAAAAAAGAAGGCTACTTCCTATATTCATTTCCTGTGAGCACAGGCAGCACCTGGCTTCAGAGAGTCTAAAATATAGCCCTCTCTCATCTCTGTTTAGGAAGGAATTCTAGCCAGCTTTGCAATAGACTTTGACAAGTGAGAGTCAGGTGCCTCTTCTTTGTTCCCATAAATTGAGGAAAGTGTAGACCAGTTTTTATAAGAGCCTCCACTCGGTGTCCATGCCATTACGTGTTCAGAAGTTGTTCCAACTTAGTTGGAGTCCAGCTGGTTGAGGGTGAGGTGTAGCAGCGGTAAGACGTCATACTCCCTCCCCTCCCCTCATCCACCACAGTCTCCACAGATGAAGACTCGCTTGGCATGTTCTGTACACAGAATGCTTTTGTCTCTCCAGAATTCATGTACTGAGACTCTAACCCCAATGTGATGGTAAAGAAGCTCATGAAGGTGGAATCCCCATGGCCATGGTCCTTGTAAGAAGAGACATGGGAGAGAGCTCTTTCCCTTTCTGTGCTGCATGAGACCATCACCAGGAAATGATTCTGCTGGCATCTTGGTCTTGGACCTCCCAACCCCCAGAACCGTGAGAAATAAATTTCTGTTGTTTAAGCCACCCAGGCTACAGTTTGTTACAGACGCCCAAACTGCCTACAACAACATGAGGACAGACGAGAAGCACTCCTTTTACTCCCGTGGGGGGAAGCAGTGCAATCACACAAAGAAATCTTTGTTACCCTCCTTTCTCCTCTTGTGCAGAAGCTGAAGTGGATGAGTTTAAAATCACTTTTTAACCAATTGTGTGCAGACATCCTAACACCTTTCTGCAGGACTTGAAACACAGTACCCTATGATAAGGTCCATAGAACTGAGAGGATTTATTGGTATTTGGTCAAAGCAACCTCAAAATTATAAGATACAAAATTTATAAAGAAAAAGGAATAGAATACATTTTCAAATAATTTTTATAGTGTTCAAGGGATGATACTAACATGAACAATACCAATATTTTTCTCTTGTTAACATTAGATAGTCCATGTTGTGTACTAACGTACAGTGTGATCAAAGTCACAGTGAAAGTTTAAACTAAAAAATATTATAAAAGACACTCATTGCCATTGATTCCCCTGAAAATATTTCCCTTTCCTTCCAAAGCATTTATCCATCTTTCTCGCCACTTTCTGAAGCACTTCTGAAAGTCCTTTTTCGTGGTTTTAGTTGTGTGGTCGTGACTACTTCAATCTCCTGAATCAATTAACAGTGCTCACTTTCCATGCCCACTTGACTTTGGGAAGGAGACACACCTTGCACAGTCCCAGAGCTGGTCAATACTGTGGATGAGGACACACTGTAAAGTTTTCAGTTGATGGAAATGGCCATAAACATTTGAACAATGTGGAGTGACTGAAAAATAAGGTGATTAAATTTTAAAAATACATGACAGTAAAAGACACTGCCATTCATTCTCTCAAAAATACTTTTCATTTCATGCACACTCTCCCATTATTTTTTGATTTTGTTTTTGTGTTTGATTTTTTTGATTTTACAGAGAAAAAAACACACAACAATGAAACTCGGCTTCACAATAGATTAGTAGGACAGTTACAATAGCTGATATATTGTGCATTGTTGTCTTCCTGGTAGTTATTCTCAGTAGAAGACATAGGCATGATATCTTGTCTATACAATATTAGCACAAAACTTCTTTTTAATGAAGAGAAACTAGCTGTATAACTAACTTGTGTATACATATTTTTTTTTCCTTTTTCCTTGTTTTCCTTTCCCCTGCCACAGTTTGTCTTTTCCTCTGAACATTTTTTTTTTCCCAATTCACAATATCTATTGTACATTTTGGATCTTATTTACTTTTTCATTTTCTCACACTAGTGAGACAACATGATGTTTACACATATGGGTCTGTTTTATTTCACTTATGAGTATGGTCTCTAGTTGCCTCCATTTACCTATAAAAGACTCCATTTTATCCTTCTTTATGTCTGAGTAGTACTCCATTATATAAAAACTCACAGATTTTTTTTATCCATTCCTCTGTTGATGGGTATCTGGATTGTTTCCAAGATCTAGCTATGACAAATTGTGCTGCTAGAATCATGGGTGCATATATATCACTGTGGTGTGATGTTTTCAATTCTTCTGGGAAGACACCCAAGGGATGTTTTTGTCTTCTGAGAAATGCTCTCGCTATGTAGTTCAATCTGACCTTGAACTCACAGGGATCCTCCTGCCTCAGACTCCTGGATGCTGTGATTATAGCCATGTGCCACCATGCCTGGCCACCTCCCCCATCATTCTTGGCAATGTGTCTTTTACTATAATAAGTTTTAAAATAAAACTAAACATTCACTATATATTTTGATCACACTTTATATGTGGCAATGTTTTCACAGGGATTAGGACATATTTATACTTTATAAAAGTCTGGTTAATTTAAAAAAGTGAATAAGCAGAAGTTGAAATGTAGGAACATTGATTTTTGATATACTTTATTCACTGATGATTTCTTCATTTTGGCAATAACCCACCTTCTCTTTTCTGCAAATTTTTGTGCCTCTGCACCTGCCATAACACACAGACACACAACCTAGTCACACAGATTTGCAGACACCTAAACATGGGAAAACAATGCCTTTATGTTTCCTGTATGTTGCCGAGCAGTCAGACTATCTATAACACGTGATCCATTTAAGTCTTCCAATGCAACGTTTTACACTATGGATCTTTTCTGCCCTTCTAAACAAGTTGGAATTTATGTGTTCTTTGTTCGAGACCCTGTAATCCCAACACTCAAGATGCTGCGGCAGGAGAATCTCTGTGGTTTGAGGCCAGCCTGGGCTACAAAGTGAGTTCAAGGCCAGCCTGAACTACACAGTTAAACCCTGTCTCAAAAAGACTAAAAAACAAAACAAAACAAAACAAAACAAAACAAAACAAAAACAAAACAAAGCAAAACAAAACAAATCAACTGGAGCTTCACAGAGACTAAAGTATAAATGTCCCCTTTTTACTTTTCTTCTGCATCAGCCTGTAAGAATCAGATACTCTTGAAGTAAACAGTGCAAACCATGGAAGGTACAGGGTGCTGCTCCCACCCACTTCCTGCCCGAGGCCTCCGTGATCTCATTCAAAATTGTTACACCAGAAATGCAGAGAGGAGTCAAGTTTTGGCTGTTGGCTGCCAAAATAAGTCCTTAATCCTTCCGTTCTCCTTTTGGCACCTTTATTGGCTGACTTCTACTTATTTTTAAAGCACTTTGTTGAGGTATGACTAACACACAAAGGGCATAATTAATGCCTACAACTTGAGTTTGGAGACAAGGATGTGCCTACCAACCATCACTACTATTCATGCTATCAACTCCAGAATTTCCTCTCATCTCCCGCCCTCCCTTCTTTCTTCCTTCCTTCCTTTCTCTGCTTTCTTTCTTTATTATTATGTTGTTTAGGTTGCAAGAATCCTTAACAGAACTAGGTGCAGTGGCACACACCCATAAGCCCAGCTATCGAGGAGAGGCTGATGCAGGAAGATCACAATTTCAAGGCCAATCTGGGCTACATAGTGAGACCTTGCCCACCCACCCCCATCCTTATCATAAAATCTACCCTTTTAGCCACTTCTTAGGTATACAACATTGGTGGATTATACAAAATGGGAAATACTGGTGATCTTTCATCACTTGGCTGTGGTCTTACTTCTCCAGAATGTCTTTTTTTCCAGTTATTTTGTCTTCATAGTGTCAGTGTCTACCCTATCTCAGTACTTAAACATGCGCCCTGAAACTATCCCTGCTACCTTTCTCAGCCCTTATTATCTTCTTGGCAGGAGTCATATCCTACTCATCTTTGTGCTGCTCGCCAAAATGCCTATGGAAATATAGGGCTAGATCACATTTCTTACGTAAGAGAACTCAGATTAATCAGGAACGCACAAACTGTTTCAGCACAGGGTCAGACAGTAAACATTTCACGCTCTTTTGTGCTTCTGATCCTTTAGCAACTACTCAGCTCTGCTGTTGTAGCAGAACAACAGACAGAGATAATATATAAATCCCAAGAAAATGTTATTCATAAAGCAGATATTAATCTGGTTTCTGTGCACGTTCCTTTCCTCCTGGGTCCCGCCTTCACTCGAATGCAGATTTTAGTCAGCGCCTACCTGGGTGTATGCAGATGCTTTCCTCTGAAGACCACACGAGTCCAAGCCTGTGACCAGGAGGTGAGGCCGGCAGAAGGGCGACTGGGACATGACAGGAAGGCCTGGGAGGACAGAGTTTTCAGACGGGAGCCAGGAACAACTTGCCTCACTACGTCACTGCGTATGACAACTTGCCATCTGCAAGTCCTGGGCTTTTCCTTGTCCCCTGAACAGGAGGTGGGGTTTGGTTACTTTGTCAGAGGAGGAGGCATGAAGCATCAGCGCTGTATCACGGCCCAAGTGGAACTGGCTGGCACATCTGGGAATGTCCCTGTGAGATGAACCAATCGTGGGCCCACACCCTTCTGCACTGTGCTTCGCCACTAATGTTTGGCGTCCCTCACAAGTCAGTCTTGATTTTAGTTACTGTTCTGCTAGTAAAGCCCATCCTCTCCAAGCAGGTAGAATAAGATAAATCATGTAGTGTTATTGTTTGGGTAAAATAAGAGAATATACATAATGTTTATAAAATTATTATGGTATAATACAGCACCAAAAGAAAAAAAATACTATTCCGTGAAAAGCTCTCTGAGGATCAAGTTTTATTCTTGCCTTTTATCACATGATGATCCATAGAATAGCACTCATTAGGATATGAAACTTATGGGATGATTTCCCACAAATTACATCATATAGATACCAGCTCTCTGAGTTTTTGTATTTATAAAATTTCTCCTACTTTTTTTTTTAGATACCAGGAATCGAACTCATGACCTCAGGCTTGCCAGGCAAGCACTTATGCCACTGAGCTATATCCCCAGCCCTCCTACTTTGAATATTGTTGCTTTTCCTTCCAGATTCAAGAACAGTGGGATAAGCGTGTTCCAGGTGAGGAGGAATACCTTCAGGGGAATGAAGGGCAATGTGTGTTTTATGGTAATAAATGTCTTTAAATTTAAGCATTCACTTCATGTAATGCTGTGTCTTCAAAACACTTCATTATACTTCATGTAATGCTATGTCTTCAAAACAACGAAACCCTGGGGGAGCCCTGCTTATTTCTCAGGCCTTACCTGAAGCACCTGGGGCTTTTCCCAACCTTTTTCTGCATGAGAACTTGTCACTTCTTCACTGGACCCTCTGCTGCATACTATTCAATCTTCAGCCAGAAAACATGTGACATGGTTGGGCTTACACCGTGTACATGACTTCATATTTCTCACTAAAGATTATACTTTATTTATCTTTGTGTCTTCATGGTGCCACTTTGCAGGGCCAAAAATAAGTGTTCAGCACACGCCAAACAATGAACAAATAAACACAGAAAGTAGGGGAATAAACAGGAATAATAGAATCAAATAGTCCTGTCTCTGCTTTATGCCAGGTTCCTATAGCAGGCCATACCTATGAAGATATTAAGAAAGTCAAATTTATCTTATCCTAATTGTCTTGTTTTATCTTGAAAAGAAGTGAAGTGCAGGATGTATATTGAAAATAACAGCAGCAATGTACCTACCATGTACCACACATTTTAAATAAACAAGTTTAACTATTACAAGAATCTTTTAAAGTAGACAGCTTGAATAGTCCTTTCACAGGTGAGGGACCCAAGTCACAGAAGGTTGGATAACTTGACTGAGCTCATACACTGTAGGGCTCATATTTGGACTCAGGTTACCTGGCTATAGTCTATGCTTATACCTGTAACATAGACAGGTCTTAATACTGTTGAAAGGGACAGATGGAATTTTCTGGATCCATGATTTTTTAAAAAATAAGCAAGTAATTATAAATCCAAAGTAAACAGTTGTTTTCTTTTTTTTTTTTTTTCCTTTGGTACTGGGAATCAAACTCAGGACCTTGCACTTGCCAGGTGCTGCGCCACTGAGCTATATCCCCAGTGACAGCTGTTTTCTAATGACTTACACAGGCCCTTCTTAAAACACTTCCATATGGGAAGGTACCAATTTCAACTTCACTCAGTAAAACGTCTCCATATTTAACTGATAAAGCCTCAAAATCCTTTCAGGACTGAATCTAGATTTCAGATGTTGCTATTTAAATACTCACCTTCCTTTTTGTTTTCCTTCTTTATTCACATCAAAAACAAAACAAAAGAACACAAAACCAACACAGTAAACTTCTTGTCCTGGAAACATAAATTGAGGCTGTATTAGAAGGTGTTTAGTTACACATCCTCTTCTTTGGACTCTGGAAAACACCGATATTTTGGATATGCTGACACCAAGTCTCCTTGGGCCTCACTCCTTCCCCTCATCATAGACAAAGAAGTGAAAATCAGGACAACCTGTAGCGAGGCCATAGGCGGAGGACACCTGGCGCCCTTCCTCTCATGCTGCTGTTGAGTAGTTCCCACAATGCTAGTTCTACGTTGGGATACAGGCGCCCAGGGAGCCCTGCATTGCTGGTATGTCCTCATCTCTTATCGCAACACCTTTAATGGAGATTTGTGGAGAAGCGACCACCTCCTCTGGGTCTAACAGTGGGCAAAAAAATCTCAAACAAGATTCGTCAGCTATAAGCAAAATAGGAGTAAAATTATCAAGCAGCAGAAGTTCCTGACTTAGGATTATTAAAAAATATGCTAAAGAAAGATAAGCAACTTGAGCAGTTACTAAATATACCAAGCATGCATGAGCCTGAGATATGTGGAGTTATGTGCAGCTGAACAAACAAAATGACTATTTCTGTAGGGACCCAGAGTGTGTGGCACTCTGAGTTTGATGATGCACCTTGCTATTTAAGGAGTCCAGAGCAGATCTTTCTCCTCAAGAGAAAATTGTTTCTAAATGTTTAAATGGATTTTGCAGAAAATGTATCTGTCATGAAAATTAACAATTTAAGATGCCATCAGGATGACACAGCCTAAGAGCCACGCTAAAGCCACGCTTTCTTTAGAAGAAAATGGATATGACTGGGAGTTCAAGGGACTTTTATTTTGTGGGGAAAATCTGGCTTTATTATAATTATAGCAAATTTCAGATAATGGGTGGTTATTAAGATAAGATTACTTTTGAAGTATAATGTGGATTATTTGAGTAGAAAAGATATATATATGTACATATATATTTATATCAGTATTCAAATACATGGCGAAAATTACTGCAAGTATTAAAATTTAAATGGTTGCCATTTAATTAGTGTTTGACGACCTTACTTAAAGTGTTCTACCATGTTGAGAATTACAGTAAAATTTTAAAAATATTGAACAAAGAAATGATACTAAAAGACAGTATCTAGTAAATGCCACAGCTGGTTTGAGTTCATGTTGGACTTCGCATCAGGCAACAGATTTATTGTTTGAGAAGTTAATCTCCCATGTAAAAGATATCTGAGTTGTTTATGAGTTGCTGGTACTTTCTTATACAGCTCTAGTTGTTGCTTTTCTTAGAGAACTGGGAAGTCCCTTTTCACTTTAGCTATGCTCTGAGGCCAGTATTCTACTCTCAAAGACCAGATGGATAATTTCTTTTCTAACTATGGAAGAAAACTGGAGCATAAATGGCAATGAACATAGTGACTTGACAAAAGGATTTTTCTGTACCTGTGCTGTCTGTGTGTGAAACTGTAGTATTTGTAATAGCTTGGTTTGGATACCTGTCAAACTGACTTGGAAAGGAAAACACGTCCTTTGACTTTGGGAGGGGTGTATTTTTAGGGTCGGATGATATGAGAAGGGACCACACAGTATTGAGGTGGTTGACCTCAGATGACCAAAGAGTCTATGCTGAAAACACCAAAACAGCAGCTCACTTTTCAAAAATGGCTAATTTGATAGAAAGAAAACAAAACAAAGCAAAAGCAAAAACAGCACAAAACAAAACACACAGCAGTGAGGAACTCAAAGACTACCAGAAGGGCACTGATGGAATCAAACTTGGAGGAGATCGAAGCTGTGTGGCAGATAATAATTGTAACATTGTTATTTATTTTATACCCATTTTCCCTTTCTAAATAAAAATCTCTGCATTATTCTTTAACGACCACTTAAGAGCATTACAATCAGAACCATGTATTGCTATGCGGATATAAAAAGATAAAATGCCAGCAGTAATGGAATACTATGAATGCAGTGGAAAGAAAAATAATCTACCTGCAATTTTTTAAAAAGTAAAAGTGATTTTTCAGTGTTACTTCAATTTAACTAACAGAGAAAATGAACTTAAAGACAACTACAGAAATAACTGAATGTCAGACTAAAGATGCTTAATTCTCAAAGATATTAATTTTGGGGGAAAGTCTTCTTTAAATGAAAGTACATAAAACAAAATTTGAAGCGTATTTGACATGTTTTATTTTTTATTTTTGGTTTTTCTCCAGTACTCGGAATCGAACTCATGACCTTGCACTTGCCAGGCAGGCACTGTGCCGCTGAGCTAAATCCCCAACCCTTTGATATGTTTTAAAGGCAGTACATTTCAATTTTAGATAGTATATTTTGAATAAACTTTAGGAAGGTGGGAATTTTGGCTTATCATATTTTATTCCCGCCCTTATGTTATGAGGATACTAAACGACAACCTGCTGGCTAAGTGTGGGCTGCTGGCTGTTTTGATAAGAAAAATTTTGTAAATAAAATTTTATTGGAATACTCTCATGTCCATTTGCTTATGTACTGTCTATTCCTGTTTTTGAGCTATAATGGTGAGATTGGGTAGTCTTACAACAGGTAATTTATCTTTGGCTTTGTAAATAAGTTGTAGTGTGACAGGGTCATGCCCTTTGGTTTATGCATGACCTATTCTTGCTTTTGAGTTATAGCTGTGAAATTAGATAGCCTTGACATAGACCATATAACCTGCAGGCTTAAAATGTTTATTAACTTGCTGTTTGCAGAAAAAAATTTGTTGATCCCCATGAAAGGTTATTAAACTTTGTGTATTATTAAGATTTATCACACTCTTGTTCTATAATTGTAATTCCCACATTTTTGTATGATTATATTTAAATGCTCACTGCTAGCTGTCTTTATCATAACTCTGCCAATTCTGAGCTTTATACTTTTATGCTTTTCTAGATTTCATTAAGTAGTTTATATGGCTGAATTTCTTTTATTTTTCATCACATCTTGGATGGCTACTGTGTCTTCCTTAAGAATTAAGTTGATCAGTGTTAGGCACCTGGGTTCCCTCTACCTGATTGGGGCATATTATACCCTAGACCTTGTGTTTACATTGGTCTTCAGTACACAAGATCTGAGGGACTTTATTTCCCCAGAGACATTAGTCTTGTTTGCATCTTCTACTTTTATTTTTTGCC